AGCATTGTCATCCGTCTACTGTAAAATCGGAATACTGCTTCCGGCGAGAGGCTACCACTCTGAGTTGCGTGGCGCGCACGCGCTGTCGGAGTGGTCGCTCGTTTGTTGTCTGTACACCGCCAACTTGCGCACGGGTGATAACCAGGTGAAAAGCGCTCGCGGAGAGCAGAAGCCGCGCGTCTGATCTCAAGAGTCAGTGCGTCTGAAAATCAGGAGTATTCCGACATCGTTCGGACCGTATGAGTTCACGTCTGCAACACGCCCGAGCGTACGTCCGCAACACATATGTGCGGATTCCGTGTAACATTAGCAGTTCGCACATAAGTCGGTCAATTTTTCTGGACCGGATTTCCTCTTGCCGCCGTACAATTTCGTGCACAACAGGCAGTAAATGTGTGGATAATTAGTTGTTTATTTGGTATATATATGCGGAGGTCACGCTGCTACTACATTAATCGGCATTATTGACAATCTCGTCAATTTCCTGTTGCCACACATTGGTGGTCCGAGGGAACGAAGCCGATTCTGCCATGTTTTCTACACCATGAATGTGGCGATCCTCCAATGTGTCACGAAAATAGCTGCGATGAAGATCAGCAGTGCACGGAGTAAAGTTATACGAGAGTGTGACGCACTCGCTGATCTTTGTCTCATCACCTCCCAGTTTCTCACGCAAGCTGCGGAGATTCGCGTCCATGCTGTCCCAAAAGTCACGCTGGCTGTTTTTCATGAAGCACTTGCACTTCACAGATGAGGTGCCAAGGACAGTTGAGCGCAAAAATCAGGAAAGATAAGTTGGAGACTTACGAGAAACACGGCTCGTGCACACAAAGGAACAGACGGCTTGCACATGCTGGTACCTTTCGTTGTATAGAAGCGACACATCTTTTGAGTCAGTGCATAAATGGTCCAGTGCTCGGTGTTCAGGCCCTGAACACTTTGCTCGAACTGCAAGAGCAACAAGACCTTAATAAAATGAAAAGAGCTGCATGAGCACACTCACATAGGCTTTGAACCGTCGGCGGATGTCCATGTTCATGTCTTAAATGATATTGGTAATGGTTCCCCACTTAGCGAAGTCCTTGTTGTTGCTGGGAGGCAGCTCGAAGACCGATCGTTCTCTTTTGGTAACAGACTTCAATTTGGAACGTCAGCGTCGAATGACATCTGCTTTAAGATGCTCAGTGCTTACCATCATTCTGTTGACAGCAATGTCCCCCTTGTAAGCTGGAAGGCATGGAGACAGGAAGATACCCAACACCCATGCTCGGACATTGGTCTGCACCTGGCAGACAGGTTGAGATAGTATGAACCTTTGCAAGCTCGTAAAGACACACCTTGAACTCTTTTGAAGGTTGCCAGGGAGCCTTCTCGACACTCTGGTCTTCGTCTCGCTGTTGAGCGACGAGCAGCGCGGCATATATCTTTGCTTCTCGAATGACTTGCGAGTCCCTGTTGTGATACATATGAGAAGTTGTCTCGCGTACTACAGAACGCGAGGACTCACTGATATGAACTGCACAAGTTCTCCTAACTTCTCTGTGCGAAGTCATTTTCTGGCGCCCAGCTGCTTCGCGTACTCTATGTAGTTTCGGTTAGGTTGAATTCTTGTCGAGGCTGGGTCAGGAGGCGCAGTGGTGGATCGTGAGTCAGGATCGGATTGATCAAGGTGAAGAGGGTCATTGCTGAGGTCGTCGCCGCTGTACTCATCATTGTCTCGTTCACGCCGTTTTCTGGTTGAGGCAGTCAGATCAGAAGACGAGTGTACCGAGCCGGGGCCTCTCTCAGCAAATTCAGCAAATTCGTCGTCGAGAGTGCTTAGTGTGGGTGCCATGAGCTGTGGGGGATGTGGTTTGGGTCAGGTTCTGAGGCCACTGACCCATGCACAAGTCTTTATCAAAATTCAGGTCCCGCAGGCCATCCAAGACATCTCGGTGACGACGACTCCTCTTCAGGAACGCAAAAAATTATCCTCACCAATTGCACTGATATTTGACTGTCATGGCTCCAGCTGCCAAGCTCACTTTGCGAAGCCTCAAAATATATGGGAAAGATAGCCGACAGTTGCGAAACACCAATGAATTCCACGAAAAAGAGGGCCCATAATAAACGCCTGCCGCAGCCCTCTCGCTCCTGAAAACTCATTTGCATTGCATGTGTGTTGATATGCAGCACATGTACTAACATACGGAACGCAGAC